TGTCTAAGTCCGTGTCTATTACCCTCCCTATTTTGGTGTCATCCGCAAACACGGAAATATCGCTGTTAACACCCTCCCCGATGTCATTAATAAATAAGTTGAACAATATGGGACCCAGCACAGAACCCTGAGGCACACCGCTCATTACACTAGCCCAGTCTGAAAAGGTGCCATTTACAGATACCCTCTGGACACGTTCCCGTAGCCAGTACTCTATCCACGTACACACCACCTCATCTGTGCCCATAGCTCTCAGCTTGTGTAGCAAGCGTTTGTGTGGTACCGTATCAAAAGCCTTTGAGAAATCCAGATATACCACATCTACCGGCTTACCTCCGTCCATATCTCTACTTACCCCCTCATAAAAAGTTAGCAAGTTAGTTAGGCAGGAACGGTCTTTCCTGAACCCATGCTGATTGTCATTAACAAATTCTACCAGATAATCCTTTATTATGCCCTCTAGCATTTTACAAACTACCGATGTTAGACTGACCGGCCTATAGTTCCCAGGTTTGCACCTAGCCCACTTTTTGAATATTGGGACTACCGTAGCCCTCCTCCAATCACTGGGGATCCTACCAGTCATTAAGGAGTCCTTAAAAATGAGGATGAATGGTCTAGTTATAACCTGGCTTAATTCCTTAAGTACCTTGGGGTGAAGGTTATCCAGACCCACTGCTTTGTATGCATTGAGCATTTTAAGTTTTTTTCATTAATTCTAGGCTTTTAAAAATGATATGCAACGCAACCAGGCTAGAATTTTTATTTTAAGTGTAACAAATGGCCAAAACTTTTATACTTGGTTTTCGATGGAATGAAGAGTGGTTAAAATTGTGGATTTTTTCATCAATTTCCATCCTTGTGATTATGGGCACCAGCAGGGTCACAGTCAAATAAATCTTGATAGAGGTTCTATTCTTTTTCTACTCTGTCCAAAACCTAAGAAAAGTAATTTTCGGCTTTATAAACAATTTAATCATTTATATTTTACTTCTACAGTTTCTGTTCAAAACAGGCACTGGTCAAAGGAATATGTTCAGGAAACCAGACTCTACTAAATGCCTACTAAATGTGCTGTAAATGTAATATTGCTGCTGTGCATAAGACATTAGGGTGTGTCGGTGGTGACAAAGGGTAAGAAAACATTCTGGGAAAGTTTTCTTACTCTTTAATGTTAACTTAAAATAAAAAAATAATAATGACCTGATGCTGGTGTGATTTTTAGAGACAGGTGGACTGGTTTGAGTATTTCTGCAACTTCTGGTCTCCTAGGATTTTCACGCGCAATAATCTCTAGAGTTCACTGAAAATGTGGCAAAAAACATCCAGTGAGCAGCAGTTCTTTGGGAATAAGCACCTAATTAATTAGAGAGATAAGATGAGTATGGCCCAACTGGTTGGAACTAATAGTAAGGCTATGGCAACTTGGATAACCATTCTTCACATATGCGGTGAGCAGGAAAGCATCACAAAATGTACAACATGTCGGACCTTGAGGTGGATGGTCTACAACAGCAAAAAGACTATGTTGGGCTACATTCCTGTAAAGAACAAAATGCTGATGCTGGAGGGTGCATGACCTCACCAACATTGGACAGTTGAAGACTGAGAAAATGTAGCCTGGTCTGAGGAATCTTGATTTTTGCTGAGCACACAGATGGCAGGCCAGTTATCAGATACAACAGAACAGCTTAATGGATATGGTGAAATGGGAGGTTCACAGCATGAATGTGCAGCTGACAAATCTACAGAAAATGTTTATGAACACAGATGGTAGGCCAGCCACCAGATCCAAATCCATTAATATAGAATACCTTTGTGACATCAAAGATACACAGCATGAATCTGAAGAAACTGCTTGATGAAATGGTGTCAACATGGACCAGAATGTTTGTGGAATTTGGACTCCATGCCTGCAAAGAATAGAGGGAGGCCCTGCCCAGCATTAATATAGTGTTCCCACAGAGGAGGAAAGGTGTGTTCATCCTCACTCATCTACTGTAGGCCAAACAGCAGTTTGGAAGGGGGCTTCACAGAGGAAAAACCATGCACTGATATCTACCTGCTGGCAGCAAGTGGCAAATATGGAATATCAATATGTAACATTTCATGTTTATAATGAATAATAATATTCAAAAACTGATAAGGATTTATTTTACAGTCATTAGAATATATTCCAGACTCCTTCTTGGTCCCTGTTTCCTTTTTAATACTTACAATGGCTGATGTTTTACAAATCTTTTCATCTAGGTTTATCCGCTAACCAACATGTCATGTAGCCAGGACTGCTGTACACGCACTTCTAAAACCATTGCTCTGGTCATTGACAGCTTACCTCTTCCTTGGTCTTCTTGGACAGCACCCTCAGCCAGTCCCCGATCATACTAAGAACAGCAGCAAAATATGCGAGACCCACCAAAATCCAAAACCACACCACTGGCTTATAGAAGTCGAGATACTCAATATCTGAACCACCTGAAACATAAGGCATTCATATTAAAGACCATCAATCAAATATATAAAAAATATCCTTTATTTCACTAATATAAAATTCCAAATGTTGTAAAATTATTTTTAAGTTTAGCTAGCATAATTAGCAGAAATCTGTTTTTGTTGTCACACACAAGATGAAAGTTGCAATAAGGCCTTCTATCTAAGCTGCAGAGTAAAAGATGAGCGGCGTAGGTGGGCTTACAAAAAGGAAAGTAGTTCAGAGATTTTGAAGCCATTCCTGTCAGGAAGTGTTTTGTCATAACAACCCAATATTTGGGCAAAATGTTGGTTTAAAAGCTGCTGCTTTTTGACCTTCAGGTGCTTGCCTGACTTTACGTCTATTGATACCATCCTTATATGACATTCTCGTCAGACAGCATTGGATGGTATAAAGCTATAAAAGGTCACTCCTGGCTAGCACATTGATTGATTACTGTAGCTGCCCACACTCTCAGGAATCAAGTCTCTTTGTCACACTGCTCATGATCTCATACCTGGTGTATTGATATTCTTGCTCTCTAAAGCCCAAACTTTTCTTTTTCAAACGATCCAAACAAAAGAGAAACACTGTTCACATTTCAATCCCGGCTTCCGACTGCATCCACGACCCAGGTACAAGCATTAAATGCATCTCCAACTTAGACAATCAAAATTCAGAACATGCCGCACTCCACAGGATCTTGTCCAGAAAATAAAAGTCTTATTCGACTCCTGACCCCTCGGTTCAGTCGAATCGAAGGGCTGCTGCACGGGCTATTCACAATACTTCATACAGCAGCCGAGTGGCTCAGCCGAGCCGAAACCATATGCTTCGCCTCGGCTGAACTGTAGAGACAGGCGAAGCGTGGAGAAAGGTTGGCCGAAGCCGACTGATCTCCACGTAAATGACAGCTGGGCGGAGCAAGCCATGATCTCACAGCTGGCTCCGCCCATTTGTAATGACAGATCAGCATCCCCAAATGACCTGCGGACGTTGTTCTGTCATAAAAAAATAGCAACTGGGCAGAGCCGACCGTGACGTCATGGCCGGCTCTGCCCAGTTGTTATCCATTGCCCAGGACCTGCTATAAGACTCTGGCAGGTGCCGGCCAATAGGAACCAGTTGGGCGGAGCTAGTGGTGATGTCACCGCTGGCTCTGCCCAAGTGTTTATATTTTGCTGGCATCTGTCAGATTCTACATTTTGCGCCACGAGTTTGTCGGGTTAGCATGCGTCGTTTTTTCTTCTTTAAAATATTTTTATTTACCTTTTAATTTTCCTATTTATTTCAATTTTTTAAATATTTTTAAAATTTTTTTTTTTCCATTCATTTAACTTTTTTTCTATTGGGCGGCATTCAGCTATGTACTTACTGCCGTTTGGCCCCTATGAGAATAGGGGTGAACGGCAGCGAGTGAGATGCCAGCGCTTCAGCTCAGCCAATCCAGATGTTGCATCGGCTGAGTCGAAGTTCTTCTGCAGTTAGGCTCAGCCGAAAATGCAGAGCTTGTTCGGTTAGCCGAAGGCAGCCGAAGTACAGCTGAAATCAGCCATGCAAGGCTGAAGTGAATAGCCACAACAAAGTTCGGCTCACTTCACTTTGGCTTGGTTATTTACTCGGCTGCTATCACGTACCTGGTGGGGAGCCGAGTTGTGGGGAGGCCTCCTTTGCAGCACGAGTTCCACACCCCTGAATGTGGAGACAGGAGGTGGGGAAACTACGGGCAGCACCGGTGCCGGGTGATGCAGGACACTGGGCCTGGGCAGGTCCTCGAAGCCCGTCTTCAGCGATGTAGGAAGCAGGTGCTGATGCGGCAGGAGCGGAGCGGAGTCGGGCAAGCCAGGGTCAGCAACAGTCGGGCGGCAGGGTACAATAGGAGAAGGCAAAGGAGAATCCAGGGACAAGCAGAAGTCGGAGGCAGGCGGCAGTCAGGCAAGGTCAAGGAATCCGGTCGATAACAAGCAACAAGCAAGATACAGGAGATAACACACTGGAGCTGAAAGACCACTCAGCAAAGATCTTGGGAGTTGGGCCAGCTTAAATAGGGTCATTCCCAGACAGAGCCAGTCACTTCCTGTGCGCCATGCGCCGTTTGCGCATGCGCAGTCGCTGCCGCTCGCGCATGCGCAGTAGCTGCCGTTCGCGCATGCGCAGTAGCTGCCGTTTCCGGCAAATGTGGTGAGCAGGCCTATGCGCATGCGCGGTCGGGACTCTGCCGTTAGGCATGGTCTTACAGCTGCCTTGGGCAGCTAAGTGAATAACCCCCATAGTCTTATGTGCATTCGCATGTTACAGCAACTGTGCAGGGTGTATAATTATGACTGTGCACTCTAATAGGAACCAAAGTTTGATCCACTGCTTTCGGTAACTCACAGTTGGTCAGAAACCCCTCTCCTCCTTTTGACATACAAGTCTGTGTGAGGACACTTGTGATGAGGGGCGTGGCAGCACAGAACACAGCAGTGAGCGGGCAGCAAAGAGCATTGATAGAAGAACTTTTCAGCATTTCATATCAGAAATCAGTCACAAGTTTTAACAGGTACAGGAATATAAACAGACAAAAAGGTGTGACACTTCAATTGGGCTTTAAAGAATTATCATTCAGCACAGAGAAGAGATTACTTTAAGAAGCTGTGAGACTGACCCGACCTGTGTTACACAATCTCAAACATACCTGCGACGTAGTCTCCGAATCCAATTGTTGTTAAAGTGATGACCACAAAATAGAAGGCATCGAGGGTATGCCAGTTCTCGATATGCTGAAAAATTACAGCTGGAATGGCGACGAACAGTACACATCCAAATAAAATGAATATGACAGTTGAGATGATGCGAATTTTTGTCTGACTTACATTCCATTTCTGTAAGAAAGTATGAATAAAACATGAGATTGGAGAAAACACAGTTTTGGCCATAATACATTTCATTGCTATCCTACGTTTTGCAAGCTAGTGGCTAAACTCCGGCCTTCTCTTCAGTAGAGTTGTACCGCATCCTCTCCTGTGAGGAAATTACTTACTCTGATTTTTCACTGCACACTGTGAGCTTCTCACAATGTGCATTAGAAGTTGCAGTCACATAAAGCCTGCCTCATTTCCTGGCTGGAGGACATTCAGCATCATCTAGCCCTTCCTCTCTAGCCCGACTGTCCCTGGCCCGCCTCATTTCACTAATTGGATTTCAAATCAATGAATCATTGAGGCTCAGCATCACAAGTGGGTGTTTCATAGGGTAGTCTGAACGCAAATTCAGTCTATCCAGCAATGCCCACCTCCCAGACTGACATCTTCCCAATAAGGTATTTGATATTTGCACAACTCCTCCCAAGAGCAAGCGCACATTTTGCATCAGGACTGAGGACTGTGGAAAGGAGTACTGAGGCAGGGCACTGTGATTTTTTTTAGGAAGCTATGTACAACACCCTTCTGGCCCCTCCTACCTATGAACTGCCTGCATTGTACAGAGAAGCACAGATGTCATCACTGGGTCTAAAATAAAGTACGTAATGAAAATGCAAAGGTTTTATCTAATAATTTGATTAGCATGTTGATGGGGAGAGGGACTGGGGAAGGCAAAATATAAGCAGATGAAACAGTTTTAAGCATACCACTGGAAATTCATCTAATTTTGTCTTGCTGACCCTTGCCATTGAGACAGAAAAAGATGGGAAAGCCAAAAATTGGTCACTAGAAGAGGAGGCAAGAGTCACTCTTCCAATGAGGATAGTGACAAATGTCTAAGAGAGAAATTTTCCTCACCATGTAGATATTCCCCCTCACTGTTTTCTGCATGTCTGGATTAGTGAAGTTAAATCTCACAGAAAGCAATAAACTGATAAAGGTTTTAACTCTTTCCTATGCTATCCAAAAAAATTTGTAAAAAAAGTTTAGGCTAAATATACACTATAATATTGGGCTAAAGGAAATAGGAAAAAATCACAGCTGGACAAATCCCAGGAGCCAGGTAGCCCATGCATCTTAAAAATTGCAGCTGGCGCCTAACTTTTGAGGTTTTCTCTAGTTGTTGTCAATGGAACTGGCCCCCCCAAAAAATGTTGTTGGTTCCCGGATTGGATAGAGTGGCTCCTGAATTCCATATTAATTTGTCCACCTCTGGGATAAATGTACGGTTATGTGGGGAATGATGCTCCTGCAAGCCAACTGCTAAAACATATGCAGAGATCTTCTAGTGTTCTTCCTTCTGGAGGGTGGCTACCTTTGTTCCCCATGGTCCCTGTGTGTGTTGTAAAGTTGTCACCGCTCCAAGCTCACTCCTGTGATGGACTACAATCTTATGTTTAGTTTACTAATTTGTATTCAGATTGTAGTTAATTACACGAGTGAGCTTGGAGTGGTGACTACTTTACAACACAAACAGGGACCATGGGGAACAAAAGTAACCACCCTCCAGAAGGAAGGACAGTGTCAGCACCAATTCAGAGATGATTTGAGGATCTACAGTTGAGTGATGCACAAATAAGGTCCAATATTATTAATAGTTCAGGTACTTGAATGCATTTTTAGGATTTAACTCCCAAGCTTAGTGCCACTTTAAGCAGACTAAACAGCATTTGTATTGATATGGAAATGTTGACTTTTTGAAAAAGTCAGCAGCTATGCCCTATTCTCCATCTTTAGCCACTCCCCCAGATTCTGATATATGCAGAAAGAAGTGACAAATGGAAATGTCTTTCATATGCGAGTTGTGATTGATAGTCTTCTCCATGCTGTTTGAAAGGTTTCAGGGAATTGCGAGGTACCGGGAGACACATTTGGGCAGAGTATTTGTTCGCTCAATTTGGAGTGTTATGTTGTTTATAGGCTGAACAGTTCCGATTTGGCAGCGGATTCTGTAAACATTGGCAGAGGAAAGGGTTGCTTAAATCTCATCTGAAATAGTCCTCACACAGCTTTTAATTGCAACCTCTATTCAAAAGAGGCATTATAGCCTCCATGACACAAATGTCTGTAGAAAGGCTGATAATAATGAAAAATCCTTCTATAAATCAAAAACAATTTTGTTTTACTATACTACCTTTTTTTGGGGGGGGTGTTGGTAAGGTTAAGCATTTATTTCCTCTATAGCATTTAACAACTTTCTTCTGCAATTATCAGTTTCACCAATGCAGCATTTTTTTTTTTTATATAGTTTTAAATTGTGAGATGCAGAACATAAAGGTACATTAAAGCCCAACTAAACCTTAAGTTTAAATCAGCTAGATAGATTCAAGTTCATCAAAACAAAAGTGTTCTTTGTGAATTTACCCGTGTGTTTTCTTAAGAAAGGAGCCACAGCCCAAGTAGAAAAGCCTCTCTCCTGCCTGCAAGCTACAGTGAAGGACTCTTGCTCTCTGTGTGGAAGCAGCAGCCTCTCTGCTGAGGTCAAACACACCCGTTGCTAAGTCAAAGCTGGAGTTTCAGCATGCAGCACGAGCTTTGCTAATTGCAGAGCTAAATTGGGTTTATCTCTTTTCATTCTAAGAACTTGTTTTTGGTTGCAGCTTCCCTGGAAATTGTAGCTATAGTACATAGTAGTGATTTAGTCATGGCAGTTAATAAAATGTAAAAAAAAAATGCAGATTAGCATTTAAAAGTTAAATAATTTCATACTTACTAATATACTTATTACGAATATATCTTCCACTCGGGCTATCCCTTTTCCAAATATTGTTCCCAACTGATCTCCAACCCCGGCCAATAAGAACCCGAAAAGGGGAATTCCCAGAAGGGCATAGATAATGCAGAAAATTTTCCCACCCTTTGTTTGTGGTGAGATGTTTCCAAATCCTGCAGACAAACACATAAAAAGCTATTAGACTCATATGAGAGGAGAATGCAATGGCAAAGGAATGGTAAATAATAATACTACGAGGAATTATTAGAGTACATACTTGCTGTTCTAGGTTCTTACAGGATAAATGTATTAATTCTATTTTCCCCCTCCCCTGATCTAACAGATCCCACCCTCCTCCTCGCAAATGTATACTTACCTCGAACCCTTGCCTACAGCCACCTGGGATTTTTTATAACCCACACCAAATCCTCTCTTTTTTGGTCGCACCTGCACAGTAGAGCAACAAAGATGTCAATGGGGCTCATCTACCTCTGTCTACCGACTGGGAGATGAGCCCCACAAAATTATTTTTGGTTCTACTGCACATTCAGGAGAGTCAGGGCTTGTGGCGTGGGGTGTCTATAAACACAGGAGGCTGAGGGAGTCAGATCTCGGTAAGTATGTAACCGTAGGAGAGGGTGGAATCTGTTAGGTCAGGGGAGGGAAGCAAATAAAATAAGTGCACTTTGTCTGAAAGTGTAACTATGTGCAAAGTTTTAAAATGGATGTGGTTTCAGCAGCCCCAGCTGACTCGGTGCTGTCACTCAAGTGACATTTCATACGTAAAAGGTGATGTAAGGAGTTGAGGAGCTGAAAGAGCACACAGGGCAATCAGAGGAAAGGGCTCTGCCATGCAAGGGGGGAGAGGACTGTGCTAGAGAATTGACTCTTCCTGGGGCAGTCAAACGCTCCAGCAAGTTAAAAAGTACATTGCAAGAAAATAAAAAATGATTTATGAAAAGTATAAACACTGTAAGTGAACATTGAAAATACTTTATTTTTCTGTGTTTTTACCTCCAGTGTTTAGAGATGGTGACAACTTAAGCTCTCCTTAAGATGTAGATTAGGTGTTGAGTGTTCATTTTAAGGGTTGAGTTATGTCTCAGCATTAAGATAAGTGTTAGGGATTGGTATCACTTGGGTTTCAAGAGTGCTTACAGTGCTGGGTTACCGACACCTATAAATTACAAAACAGTCTTTCTTTGTTCTGACTACTAGACATTCAACTAGACTGTTCCTTTGAACAGATAAAAACAAAGGATAGCTGTCACAAATTTGTCTCAGAAGGTCAAAAACAAACTTGCAAGAACAGAAGCTCTATAACACTGTTATAATAAGCAAAAAAACTGATTGGTTGTTATGGGAACCCACTTTTTGTACCTTATCTTTGTTCTTTGCACTGGGTTTTTTGGATGAGCCTGTTAGAAATGAGATGAGGTAGCAGGAACTGCCAGAGAAAAAGTGGTTTAGCAAACCCCATATAAATTGTTTTATTGAGGTAACACCAAAGCAGAATTCCAGGCAAACATTTTGTATTAAAATCTTCTGTGTAAAAAAAGTTTTCCTAGAGTTCTGCTTTAAAAGACAACTGCACTAAAGGTTCAGTTGCCCTTTAATTAATCTCCCCACACTTCTGACTGCTGCCCACCTTGTAAAGTATTTACCTTGCTCCCGGTTCCAGCGTTCTTCACCGTACGGCCCTGCCCAGCGTTGCACATTCTTTGAAGTAAAAACATCCCCACCAGGTCCTCCTCTTACTGTGCATGCTTTCTGTGACCTTATTTATTCCTATGGCTGAGCCATATTCCATTGGAAGGCTGGAGGCCACTATTATTAACCCCATTGCCTGGGTGAAATGCGCCGAAGGTGAGGCATTTCACCCAGCAATTCTAGATGCGCAGTTGACTGAGGGGCACACCGGAATGATATATATGGCATACATTCAACCACTATGCTTAAATGGAGATGAAACCCCTTTTGGTTACTTTTAGTCAATCTCCGCATAACCTGTGTAAAATCTACATAAAAACAGAATGCAATGATTTGCAAATCTCATAAACCCATATTTTATTCACAATAGAAAATAGAAAACATATCAAATGTTTAAACTAAGAAAATGAAATGTACCATTTAAAAAAAAAAAAAGGTAATTTTGAAATTGATGGCAGCAACACGTCTCACAAAAGTTGGGGCAGGGCAACAAAAAGCTTAAAAAGTAAGTGGTACTAACAAGGAAGAGCTGGAAGAACATTTAACATCTAATTAGGTTAATTGGTAACAGATCAGTAACATTATTGTGTATAAAAAGTGTATCTTAGCGAGTCAGAGTGTTTTAGAATAAAGATGGGCAGAGGTTCACCAATCTGTGAAAAGCTACGTCCAAAAATTGTCAAACAATTTCAGAATAATGTTCCTCAAGGTAAAATTGCAAAGACTTTAAAGGGATTCTAAACCCTCCATGTTTTTGCCTATATCTACTGCTACCAAGCAGTAGACATAGGCAAGAAGTTTTTTTTTTAAAACCCCGCTATAACAGAGGTTTAAACTTACCTCGTTATCGTTGCGCGCTCCCGCGCCGAGAATCAGGAACTGATCGTGCGGCCACAAAGGATATTGGGGCGGGCGCATGTGCAGTTCCGATCCTCGGCCGGGAGATGAGCAGAGACGCAAGGTAAGTCTATGGACGCGTGCACCGGCATGCAGACACTGCTGGATGGGAGAGACAGAGCAGTCAGCGCTGGATCGGAGAGCCGCCGCACCGCTGGAGGGACAGATGAAAACATCAGGGAAGAAGAAGAAGATCGGAATAAGAGACATCATTTAAGGTAAGTGCCAACATTAACATGGGGGGAGGGAAGAAACATTTTGACTTTAATGTCACTATAAATATATCATCATCTATAGTACAAAATATCATCAAAAGATTCTGAGAATCTGGAGAAATCTCTGTGTGCAAGGGACAAGGCCAAAAGGCAATGTTGGATGCCCTTGACTCTCAGGCACTCAGATGGCACTGCATTAAAAACGGTCATGATTCTGTGATGGACATCACTGCATGCGCTCAGAAATACTTCTAAAAATCACTGTCTGTGAACACAGCTCACCATGCCATCCAAAAATGCAAGTTAAAGCTTTATCATCTAAAGAAGAAGCCATATCTGAACATGATCCAGAAACGTCGCCGTCTTCTCTGGGCCAAAGTTAATTTCAAATGGTCTGTTGCAAAGTGGAAAACAGTTCTGTGGTCAGACAAATCAAAATGTTACATTCTTTTTGGCAACCATGGTGGACTAAAGAGGAGGGGGGGCATCCAGCTTGTTATCAGCGCTCAGTTCAAAAGCCTGCATCTCTGATGGTATGGGGTGTATACGAGTGTATGGAATGGGCAGCTTGCACATCTGGAAAGGCACCATCAATACTGAAAGATATATCCAGGTTTTAGAGCGGCCATCCAGGCGACATCTTTTTCAGGGAAGGCCCCGCATATTTCAGCAGGACAATGCTAAACCCCATACTGCATGTATGACAACAGCATGGATCAGTAGTAGAAGAGTCCGGGTGCTTAACTGGCCTGCATGCCGTCCAGACCTTTCATCAATTGAAAATATTTGGTGCAAATGAAAAATATGACAAAGAAGACCCAGCACTGTTGACCACTTAGAATCCTATATAAGGAAAGAATAGGACAAAATTCCTTTCCCAAAACTCCAGCAACTGGTCTCCTCAGTTCCCAGACGTTTACAGAGTGTTGTTAAAAGAAGAGGGGATGCTACACCGTGGTAAACATGGCCCTGTCCCAATGTTTTTGAGACGTGTTGCTTTCATCAAATTGAAAATCATATTTTTGTCTTAAAATGGTCCATTTTCTCAGTTTAAACATTTGATATGTTTTCTATTTTCTATGGTGAATAAAATATGGGCTTATGAGATTTGCAAATTATTGCATTCTGTTGTTATTTAGCTTTTACACAGCGCCCCAACATATTTACAATTGGGGTTGTATTATACAAAAGCATTAATTGAAAACAAAGAAATATTGCATTGTGCAGCGGTCGTATTATTCAGATGGTTTGGGAGCTATGCATTTCAACATATTACACCTTTAAACAAGCAAACTCAAAGGTCAGCAGATATGTAAGGCCTCGTTTGAACGCCTTTGAGATGGGATGGTCTTCTTGTCCAGCATCAGTACCTGACTTCACAAATGCTCTTTTGGCTGACTGGGCACAAATCACCACAGAAATACTCCAAACTTTTCTCAGAATAGTGGAGGCTGTTATAGCTGCAGTGGGACCAATTTCATATTAATGTGCATGGTTTTGAAATGGGATGTTCGACAAGCTCATGTTAAGCTTGTTGGACATTCCATTATAAAACCATGGTCAGGTGTGCACAAATGTTTGGCCTGTTTCCTTATGCTGGCTAAAAGCTCTACTCATGTCATTGAAACAAGGCATTTCTAACTGCACCTGTTCATCACCTTTGCATGCTACAAAAACAATTGTTTCTGCAAATTTATCGAAGAAATTATTACAGCTTTGCAACTGCACAGAATAGTGCTTGCAAATAAAAGAAAGCTCACAAATAACACATACATTGACTACTGTGGGTTTTCATGTCAGCTGACTTTGAGTCCCTCTCAGTGTTTGCATGTTCTAACATGATCTTTTACCATCACTTTTTTGTTTAACAAACATTTTATACATGACAAAAGATTCCCACAGCATTAGAGTTTGTCTAAATAGTCAGCAAAGCAGAAGCTATGTGCTTTTAGGCATGAGGTCTCTCACTGAAACCTACAAGAAGGGGAGGAGTCACTGCTCTGACTTTATGTCTAAGTTTTAGCCTTAGGTAACATTAGGTATATAGAAGGAATACATTTGAAAAGGTGTTGGGGCTTCAGCTGCTGGCTGAATGTAAGAATACATAATATCTATAGGCAATATTTTACATTTACCTTATAAAAAGTGTATGTTTTAAAATTAGCATTTTTAAAAATTGTAATACGAATTTATATATAGAAACAAAACTGCTATGTGTTCCCTTTATAAAAAATATAGTCACTTCCTGTTCTAAACCTCCCTTTGTGGTGCAAGAAGATGCCTACTTGCAAACAGGCAGTTATGATTAGAGAGGGATGTGCTCAGGTTTGTGAATTTGTTTAAGCACATTC